ATATGATGGTGAAATTAGGACATTTCCAGAAAAGCAGAAATTAAGGGAATTTGTCAAAACCAGACCAACCTCTTACAAGAGATGTTAAAGGGAGTCCTTCGGACAGAGAAACAACAACAGCCACAACTGACCATTAACACACATGATGATATAACCCAGAAATCAACCCAGCTATGAAAGTATCCAAAGTAAAGAAGCCAAGGAACCAGAGACATCAACTGACAAATGAGGACAACTACAAGCCAAAAAACTGTGTCATTACAGAACTTCCTAGATGCTAGGGAACTCAAGACAACCACAAGATAGAAAAGACTGTTCTAAACTTGGGAAGAAAACTATAAATCACAGGGTAACCTCAAAGAAAAATGATAAACCTTCACATCAAAAAAGAGGACCAGCATAAATATTCACCAAATACTAAAACAATAGCAATTAAGGAAGTGATAACACGATTTATAAACAAAATGAGCTCAGCATAGAAAATTATATGGAACAAAGAAATCAACACCACGAAAAAGCACATAACAAAAATGACAGGAAAAAATCCGTATTTGCCGATAATTACATATCTGACAAGTGACTTATCTCTAAGATTTAAAGCAGAAGAGTGGATGACCAAACTATGGTACGTACACATAATGGAATGCTATGCAGCACTAAAGAATAATGTAGAGTCTGCAAAACACTGCATAATATGGATGAACTTGGAGGACATTACACTGAGTGACATAAGTCAATCACGGAAGGACAAAAATACTATTAGTTTGTTGTTATGGAGGGTCAAGGAAAGGTTTATATATGGAGGGAAACCTTCTTTGTTGGTTGTCAGGGGTGGGACGGGAGGGGAGGGAACTCTGCAAAAAAAAAAAATGCATTGACCCATGTCACTTTAGTTTTGTTGTATTTCACTGTACATAAATTATATTTCAAGAAAATGCATTTTAAAAAAATTAAAATTAAAAATTAAAAAGGTGGGAAGACCTCAATGAGATGGATTGGCACAGTGATTGTAACAATGGGCTCAAGCATAGCAATGATCATGAGGATGGTTCAGGACTGGGCAGTGTTTTGTTCTGTTGTATGCAGGACTGCTAGGAATCAAAATCAGTTCAATGACACCTAACAGCCTGAAAGATGTCATTCACTACTGTGTAAACCAGGAGCTCTGGTAGCATAGTGGCTAAAAGCACTTGACTGCTATCCAGAGGGCTGGCGGTTCAAACCCACCAGCCACTCCTCGGAAGGAAGGTTGGGCAATCCTACTTCCGTAGTGATACTGCCTCGGAAACCCAAG